AACAATAAGCAATAAGTGTACACATTTCAAGAACCAAAAGCCAACGAACGAAACATTCAGCACAGCTCCCGCAAATCTCTGGTAATTGCACACGGTCCCTTTCTCAAACTACAATCACTGCCCAGGATTTCCTCAAGCCAATGTTTCTTGTTCCCTGGCCAGGCAGTGCAAACTTTGACCAAGACCCCACACCTTGCAAATTCAGTGCCTTTTACATACATGTATCTGGAGTGTATGCAAATTGTTGTATGTCATGTGATCTCCCAGCATTGGTCGTGACAAAAATCCCAACAGAAACAGGTGTAGTTATTTGCTGGTCATGGTAAGGTGGCACCTTCACAATTAGATGATTCTGAAAGGAAAAAAAAAAGTGGCAGGTCTGTGATATTTGACATAAGAAAATCTAGATGTTTATCAAACATATAGCTTTACAGCTGTGTTACTCCCTAGAGTAGCTTTGAAGAGCTGCGGTGGCTCAGTGGTGAGAATGCAGTACTGCAGGCTGCCCTTGCCCACCGGCAGGGGTTTGATTCTGACCGGCACAAGGTTGACAGCCTTCCATCCTTCCCAGGCGAGTAAACGAGGACCCAGATTGTTGGGAGCAATATGCTGTAAACTGTAAACTGCTTAAGAGGGCTGGAAAGCACTGTGATGCGCATATAAGTCTAAGGGCTACTGCTAGAGAAATCGCTGCCTTCCTGAGGCAGAAAACAAAGGCTATAAAATAATTTTACATTTGGATCTTAGATTCTTCATTTGAACACAGATTTACTGCAAGGTTTGTTTAAAGGTAACAAAACTGACCACCTTACAGGAAATTACCATTTTGAGACTGACATCTTATCACAGCTGGAATTAGGGCTCCCAAATGGCCAAATTCAAAAAAGTTGGAATGGCTTCCGCACAAGAGAATGTAAAGAAATGAAATGCATGGCAATTTTGCACTTTAGGGAAAGACTGGGAGAGAGAGAGAAAATACGCAAAAGGCTGCAGCAGAAAATAACTAACCTATAAGCAACTTAACAAAACGAAAAAATCACTCTGGTCTGATCCCACTTTTTCCTCTAATTCTGTTTGCTTTAAAGATTTGAACTCAGATGTTTACTCTCTTAATTTACATTCAGCCATAAAACTTCCAGAGATTTCAGAAAATTTATCCTTCCCATTAAGTACGGGAATAAAATCCATCTGCATGCCTATCTGAACCTCACTTTCAAAACGTATCATAAAATGGGATTCTTTTAATAGTAACGCCTAAATTATTATTCTCAAGATGAAATGGATGATTACATCCCTGAGAAAGCAAGTACCTGGTGAAACAGCTCCATGTCAATTTCTGCCTCGGCTTTCCAGGAGCTTTCATCTGTTTGAAAGCAAGGCAGGAAAGGGGTTATGCAAAGGCAGCGGTCAGCAGTGGACGAGGCCACGCTGGCCGCCCCCGTCCCTCCCCCTCCAGCTTTCTTTGCCCAACCTCGGCACAGAGACCTTGACACCCACCAGAGATGTTCTCTTGGAAGATCACTTTGGTTCCCTTCAGGAAATTCTTCCCGATCAAAAAGACCTCCTCTCCTCCTTTCACTGAACAGCTGTGCAGGCTTTTCTTGAGGATCTCCGGCACGCCTGCAGGTTGAGCTGCGCCAAGAAGAAAAGACCCCCCCCACAATCAGCCACAACCCCAAGGCCTCTAAGAGCCTCTAGGTGGAAAGGACAAATGCTACGAAAAGCTTAAGCAAAAGTAAGACTCCTCCTTTTACAGGGGAAGAGACGGCACAGTTCCTTCCCCTGGGAACTCATGGCCAGCCGTTGCCATTTTTGGAATGGAACACACTTAAGAGCTGAGGTCCTAATATAATATCCAAATTCTGTTTGTCCATGTTTTATTCTTCATGTCACTAAAATAGATCATTTTATGCAGATTCTCTTAAGTTCTGTTTCGGTAAATACTAAAAATAGCTTATGGTTTTGTTTTTGTAAAGTTTAACCCTCTGTTGAGCAGGATAGCTCAACACGTAAGGGGGCTTTTGGTCATTAGGGGCCCTGCCTCACAGTTCGACTTTGCCACTTACTGCACAGGATAGGCGAGGACGGAGTCTGTAGCGTTAGAGCAGAACCATCTTTCCGCGGGATGTTGACACGGAAAACCAGTCTGGCTCGAGTGCTTTTTTTCTTAGAACCAGCAATGCCTATTCGGGCTTCGACATCTGCATTCCTCAACTTCAGAATCCCAACACAGTCCACCCTAGCAACATAGGATTAATGTTTGTGTTATTTTTAATCCTGCCAATACATGGGAAGTGGCAAGCTTTTCAAGAGATGCAGCAGATCTGCAGTGACAACAGAAGCAACCCCCAAATCATCACATTTCAATGCCCTGCAGCTGTGGTGGTAAGAAAGCTGAGCTGCCCAGAGGATCAAGCATTCAACTTCACTTTGGAAAAGAGGATAATACTCTGTTACATGGGCCTTCACTGGATATTGTTGGATAATTCCTTTTCCCACCAACAAAGGTGACAATAGAGAAGATGCTTTAGGACAGCAACTCCCAACTTTTTGGGCAGCAGATTCCTTGGATAAAGTTATTTTCCGCAGACCGGAGGGGAAGTGGTTCTGCGTGCTGCCTGCATCTCACGGATGGGGCTTCACTTGTTTCTGCAGCCCAGTTGCTAGCATGCCGCAGCCTGGTACCGATCCATGGACCAGGAGTTAGGATCCGTGGTTTAAGAGATTAAAATACATCATTGCATGCAATGGACATAAAGGACTGCTAAACAAGCAAAGCAGTTTATTCAAAAGGGGGCAGTTTTTGTAGAAGTATTGGAATCACCTAACAATGATAGTTTTTAAATACCCGAAAAACACTGCAATAAAAATAATTTGTTAAATTTATACGCCACCCAGCCCCCAGGCTTCTAAAATGTTGTGTACAATTTGATTTCTTTGTTAAAAACAAAAGATCCTGGGAGCTTTAACTTGCCACACAATATGCAATTATACATAATATCTCAGGCCTAGTACCTGGCTGTCAGTCTTTGCCTTGGAGGGGTCCGTCCCCACAGTAAAGAAACATGTTAGTCCACCATTGACAGTTAGAAGAATTAATCAATGGAACAACTTGCCTCTAGAAGTTGTGAATGCTCCAACTCCGGACATTTTTAAGAAGATATTGGACAACGATTGGTCTGAAATGGTATAGTGTTTCCTGCCTAAGCAGGGGGTTGAACTAGAAGACCTCCAAGATCTCTTACAACTCTGTTATTCTGTATTCTGTTTCCATCCGGAATCCAACAGACTCCCTCCCACCTTTTCAAGAAACACTAAGATTAATCCTCTCTCTGCAGATATATTTAAACATAGAAATAAACGATATTCCAAAACAAAGAAACAGAAATGGCACTATTGATTCACTTCAGGGTTCAGATCTGACTTTACTGGGGGGAATTACGTCAAGTGGCTGATTGCTCATCAATGGACCAACCAATCACCATTATGAAATTACTTTGTTTCTCCCTCTTGTGAGAATGAACAATTTATAAATAAAAAATAAATACACTGCAGCATTGGAAAACAGGTTTTCCTCAAACAAATTTTATGTTTCCCAAATGAAAGAGAATTTAGGGCTCAGCTTAAAGCCCCTTCACCCAAATCCATCATCCCAGGGAAAACAAAGCATGTGACGCAGTAGAAGATGTCAAACGGGACCAACTTCCAAAGAGAGACTTGCGATAATCTAGGTGACAGCAGCTATGCATGGGAATGTGGAATTGTTCACTCTTGCTGATAAAGAAGTGGAAAGCTGTGAGTCATAACCGGAACACCAAGGAAGCTGCTACAGGTTGATGACGAGAGTCCACCAGCTTTCCTTCTGGTTCACATCGCAGCCTGAGAGGAGAGAGAGATCCTCCCAAAGAACCTTCACTTTACCTCAAATAAATGTAGTTTTAGCCAGAAATGGGCCTAACACCACCCAGAGTGTTACAGTTTATGTTGGGAGGGGGGGAGGGGGTTATAAATCTTATTAATAAATAAGTGAGAATGCCAATGCCAGATTTACTCTTCTGAAGACATTCTTAACCCCGACACTGTTCTCAGAGACAAGCGAGGCAGGATGGAAGTCTATCCAGACTGACAAAGGCACCAGCGGGGCAATGAAAAGGGACTCACGCCAGCGTCATGCTGTTGCTCGGCTCCAGGCCTACTTCGATGACAGTCGTGCCCTCGACGTCCACCTCTTTGCAGGGCGTGGTGTTCCGCCCTGTCACCCTGCAGGCCTGATAGAATCCGTGGGGCTTCACCCGGCCAGAGTCATTGCCTACAAATATCTGTAACGTCACAGGATCGTTGTGACCTTCCAGCTGGAATCACAAATCAAGAGTTAATGGACCACACGAAGCTCTATTAATATGCCAACAACGCAAGCACAAACGTTTTTTGAACGCCAAACACCGACTGCTATCAATAGTCCTTGCTCCTGTAGAGCAAAAGAGATGGATTCTTTGGATTTTAAATATTTTGATATTTTTGGCTATATTCTATCAAACTCTCAAGTTGATTCTATTGCATTCATATTTTGAGCATATATATATATATATATATATATAAATGTTCTTTCTGAAAAGGAAGCATTTTCAAAAGTCCGTTTTGGACAGGGTCAACTTTTTATATATTACACTTTCTTGCAGAAAAATGCTTATGATGAAGCAAGAAACCACTGAAGAATTTAATGCTATTCTTTAGAAACTGTGCATATATTTCCAGGGGATCTAAATATTAGTGTGCAATTAAATGAAACACATTTTCATTTTTCAGAGAAAAAAAAACCTAACTTGTTTAAATATCTACTTTTCGGTCAATTACCCCAGAGGTCCACTGCACTTTCTGCTCTGTTGTTTGTGCAAAGTTAATGAATATTTGGAACCAATTAATACACACAGAACAAGGGTAATTTTTTCAACATATTGTTTTCAACCATATTTGCAATATTCTCTAGGAGACGGAAGTGAAAAACCAGTGACAGCAACCCTCTTTCATTCAGGAGAGGCTGCACAGATGGTGCTCTGTGCATTTATTTAACACAGAGAGCCAAGAGTAGCCCCTGCTCTATATTTACACTCCTTCCACCCAGCTAGAAAGGCTTCCCTGTCTTAAACCAAAAAACATCCAGTCCTTTGCCGGGAACAACAACGTAACCACACGCCTGAGGACTGGAACGCTGTCCTAGTGACAACGTCCGCCCTGAGAAACCTGACTAACCCACTCTCAGAAGAGAGCCGGGGGGAAGGAGAGCTCTCGGCCCTTCTGGCCTACCTTGACGGTGGGGAATCCTTGCTGGGTTCTGTCTTTCACTGAGCCTCGGCTGCCCTCAGTGAGGTAGCGAGCTCTGTGTTGAGTCTCCGGCTGTACCAGGATCTTCAGCTCTTTGCCTTCACTTTTGCTCAGGTACTGACCACACAACAGAGGGCTCTTCTTCCCTCCAGCCGCCTTGGGGACTTCTGAGGTTCTGAGATATTAGAGAAGATCAATAAACAGGTCACCAAAGGCTTTCCTTCCAAACAAAGGAAGCGGCTGGGGAAACCAGGAGACAGAGAGACATATATGCAAAGCTGCATCATTTCTCTACTTCCCTTTCACAAAAACTGTGTCATTTCATTAAAAGAAGATAGCCAGAAACCTAAAAACCTATATTTTTAACTAGTAATTAGAGGACAAAATTTATAGTTATATTTTAACTATAGACAGTTTAAACAACCTGCCTTAGTTCACCAGCTTGCATGAAATGCCAGTTCCTGGGACAGGTAACCTAGCACATCTTCACAAATGTCACCTGGTTAAAATAAATCCTGACCATTTTGAGACCAAAGGCCTCCTAGGCCCTATTGCTATATACTTCCGGCAAGTATATGCTCAAATACATTTTCAAATCAATACTGTTAGAGTTAAAGTATATTTAATTTCAGCACATTAAAATATGTGCACTAACTGTGACACAGCTATCTAGGCTGTAGACATTTAGACTACATCCTGTAAAAAATGGCTGCTAATTTTTTTTAATATATCAGGTCGACCCATTCTATGCATTTTAAAATGAGAGAAACTGAAATTGTGCATTAAAGTAAGCTGGGTTGCAATTATTTCTTTCTTTCCTTGATAACAAATATATTAATGGAAAGAATTCATACCACCAGGCTGAATATATTTGATGCAGTTCTCCTGAACTGTTTAAAGACTGACCACATGCATATTTTTCTACTGGCAACACAAAGAAGACTTTTCAGAAGTAAATGAAGCAAAATAGCAATTAGTTCCCATTGGTAACACCATGCGTTCAAAGGGAAATGCTGCATTTCTATGTGATCTATCAGGCCTGCTTTGCTCCTGATCCTTCACTTGTTCCTTTGCAGAGGCAATACGGCAACGAAGCCAAGTGGTCTATTTGCTTTAGAGCCTCTGGGAAGAAATAAATGCAAAATGATCTAGCTAAAGGTACAACACATAAGTAAAACCTGTTTGAATAAACCCCAGAGGAAAATAAGTCTTCAGCTTGACTTTGTTTTTATATCTTTTGGTCCCCTGCCTTTTTTCCCCCCTAAGCATCCTACCAGCCCTGAAAAACTAAGCTAGCTTTTTGTGCAAGGTTTCATTAAATTGGAGTAGGATCCTAGCACCTCATTTTCTTTTTCTTTTCTTCCTGAGACCTTTGGTCTATCAGGCATCCAAAATACAATATGTTGGTGAATCTATTTCTGTTTCAGAGAGAACCAGTACTGGGTGAGATACGTCACAAAACATGTGTGCAATGTGTTAAGCACTCCTGGTTAGGTCTTTCATGAACAATGTGTAATATGAAGTAAATTATATTTTGCAAGTCAACTTCCAGGCTTCAAGAACTGCATGCAATATTGTTAAACTTGAAATTCTGCCTCATTTTGTTTGGGCACTTATGAATAAAACTCACATTGTCTCCATTAAGAATGCTCAACAAATATATTCAATGTTTACTGCAGGCTACATAATAGCAATTGCACAGAATTCTAATTTCTAAAAGAAGTTTAGAAAATAATTGCATCTTGAAAACAACAAACGTTCCCATTTTATGAGAATATCTGCAAATATATAAGAGCAGCCTAGAGGATATGGGCACCACATTTTCCATTGGCTTTTATTGCTTCAGAAGTGGGTAACAAATAAATTCCCGCTATCCTCCTTTAGAACACATAACTATGCATTATTCAAAACCTGCCCGCAATCCCTGGATGCCTACAGCCAGGGTTCAGGGACCTGTCATCTGAAGTAGGAACTCTGACATACAATAGAAGCCCAAATGCATGAAAGGAGCATTATTTGGAGCTCAACTTCAGAGCCCCAGCAGCCAAAATAGGGCATCTGCTTTATACAATGTATGGGTTGCACAATTTTGCCTTCTGAGATGATTCCGTTGATAAATTGATCATGATTATGAATAGTTATCCCTATCTCTGCAATCAACAAGGAATCACACACACCCCAAATTAGGTTTCATTTACCACAGATACCATCTGCACTACAGATTCTTGATACCAGGATTCATTCTAGTACTTGACCACAAAACTCACTAGATAATCCTTGAAAAAAGCATCGATTCCTAATTCCCCTCCTCAAGGGGCTCTTGGAAAATGCTGGGGCTGTGCAACACTTGGAATCCAAGTGACACCCGTGATTGGATGCAGTCTTGGGGAAAGGCACATTTGAAGCAATTAGCCCAACCACATTTCCCCTTTCAAACACAGAAGAGATGCACAACTCGACCCCGTATAAAGCAGCCTCTGAGTATCTATAATAGGAGGGCATTTTGTTTTAATTAAGCCCAGTACTATATTCTAGTAGTTACTTAGCAGCTTAAGTGCATTCAGTTCTGGAAAAAAATCAAACAACACTGAGTCCTTGTATTTATTCTACAAAAATAGTCAACAGCGTTAATTCAATGGGCTGATTTCTACGTCAACATTCATAGGACTACAGTCTTCATTTTCAGATTATGAACTTAATCTCTTGAAGAACCATCTCTTCTAATAGTCTCTTTTATATAGTTCTGAAGAAGACTTTTGACAATGTAGAGATCTGCAGAACCAGCAGTTTTCATTTTAAACGTTGTCTTTGTAGGGCTTTTATAAATTGTGGGTGAGGAGGAGAACAGGTCATACCAGACTATGGGCCACCTTGTATGAGGCCTCTCCAGTCACAGCCTGGAAAGTTGTTTAGCTGCAAGCCTCACTCTGGAGTCTCTTATGACCTTCCTCCTCTAAGAGAAGGCAAAGCAGGATGACTTTTCCTTTACAGGGCAAATCTGTTTTCCTGTAATTCAATATTTTCTGATTCAAGGATAACATGAAATAGACTTTTCTGTAAGAATCAAGAGAAGTCCTTCAAAGGAGGAGGCAAGAAACTCAAAAGATTTCACTGCATGGCTTTATGTCCACATTCGCATGCAGTAAGTCAGAGTGGTAAAAATTCTGACTTGCGAGGAACAATCCACCACACCACGGCCCGACTGCTCCTATTGCCACCCACCCAGGGAACAAGCCCTGGCCATCCAGCCAGTGGCTTGCCTCTTCTTAAATGCAAATCTATGCTTGTCCGCCTTGTTAAAATTCAGAGAAAGAAGCCATGATTGGACCTAAGCGTGTAACACTGGCTTGCAAAGAACTGAGCAGGCCGGATGCCTGGATCACACATAAATTATAATCTGAGCTTCCCACGTTTGTTGGCCAACATGAGGCATCAAACAAAATGGCGCCCCAAGGTGTTGCCTGTTCCCAGGAAAATTAGAATCCCTTACAAGTGCCACTTAGGTTTCTAGGCAATGCAAGAGGCTGCAGCAGGGTGGAAGGTCGCCGGATTTCTCAGGCAAATGCACCTCGTACTGCCCCACGGCCAACAATGAGGATCTTGTGATCCTCTGGATTCCAAAGGAAGGAGAGGACTGCCACTGGGGAGAAAATAACACACACTTTCCACTCATGAAGTGGGATGCAAACCAGAGTTCCTAAATCCAGATGCAATTAAACAAAGGGACGAGAAACCACCACCACCCAAGCAGGCTACAGGTAACTTTTCCGCATACACGTACAGACAACTGAGAAGCACAAAGCAAAACAGGAGAGAGGTTTATTTCTGAAAGATCAGTTACAGAACTGAGATGACACAAACACAAATTTTGTTCATCTTAACACTTTAGAAAGAATACGAAAGGTCAAAACCAGCTGCCTTTAACTGATGCAGAGGGTGAAACAGAAGCAGGTGAAGTGTGGACTTAAGTCCCCACAATCATCTCTGTTGAGGAAAGGAGGTAGGAGCCGATTCCAATTTTAAGCACTGTTTCAAACCTGTTTCTTACTGAAAAACTTCCCACACGCTAATCGCGTTCCACAAGGAAAAGCTGACAACCGTTCCTGTTCAATGACTGCTAAACTTAAGAAACTATCAAATATCAGCTCTCCCATCTCTCTCAGTGAAAGTATGAACTCTAGGGGAAAATCAAAGTTATGTTTTTAGTTTGTTTGTCTGCTTTAACATATGTTGAGAGAACATAAAGGCAGATACCAACCCATTTCCTGCTTTCAAGTTGCTTTTGCTCTCCGTGCCGAGTTGAGAAAGGACATAATGAGGCGCTTTGGCACTGTCAGCATCAAAGATATCCATGGTCGATTCTTCACCATCTCTGGATTTGATCCCTGGCCTCTGCTTTGGATTTCGCTTACGAGATTTACGTGGCACCTCAGTGTTATCATTGTAGGAACTGGTACTCATGTTACTGAAGTTAGAGGGGGAGTCCTCCATCCACATACTGCAGCTTTGCTCAGACTCCAATCCGCACCCCTCATCCTGGCAGGACATCTGGCTGTTGTCCAGCAAATCCTCTGGTGGTGGCGAGATGTACAGGACTGTGTGCCTCTTCGGGGTGGACTGTGGCTGCTGCTGCTGCTGGACTGTGTTATTGGTTAACTGCTTGTCACTTACCCCACGGTTACTTACCCCCATGGCTGAGGAGCAGCCCTCCACTTGCATAGCTTTGCTGTCAGTGACTGAGGTAGAGTAAATGGTGGGGCCGGAAGAGGTGGTAAAGGAGCTGCAAGCACCGCCCACGGAGGAAGAGGGAGCTGAAGAAGCATCTGTGGTGTATAATCCACAAGTCAATACAGGGTCCCCCATCCCAACTCTGCTGGCTAGAGCAGTCCCTTTGAAGCAGCCTGATTTGGTGAACCGATTCTTTCCCCAAATTAACGTTTTGGAATTTGGCTGGTTTTGAAATTTAAGAGTTTCAAGTAATATAAGGCTTAAGCAACATAGACGTGTTCGGAAGATATCCAAATCGTATTTCTTATTTTAGTGCAATCAGACTTTTCAGAAAATCTGTAAGTCACAAAATGGTTGCAAGCAAACAAAGGTGCTTTCATTGCCTCATCCGGACTACGAATTTAAGCCACTTTATCGAAAACGATAGAAACCCCCAGGAATGTGCACTTTAGGCCACATTATTGCCAATTGCTCAGCACCTGAAATGTTCAAAAACCTGGGACTGTGCTTAGCCACGAAGTATTAAAATAAGTTTCTAACCTATGAAGCAGAGAACTGCAGGTCATTTTTAATGCAGACACTCCCTGCTTCAGAGGCAAATCCTGGAATAAAAATAATGAGAAAATAAATGAGAAGAAGAGAGCTGCTGATTATTCCAGATATCAATTATCAAATGAGAAATGAAATGTAAAATAACTGAAGAGCAACAAATGGAACTGGTACCAACTGTCTTTTAGGAATTTCCCCCCAAAAGAAGAAAAAGCATCGGCTAAGGTTTTAACCTGGAGGACTGCCCTGGTCCTGAAAGAATCAATGCCCTTGGAGGGGGGTGGGGGGGTCAGGCAGAGATCCCTTCCTCAGCCAAAAGCAGCGCCACATTCTTCAAGCTGGAAGAAAGAATGAGGAACTCAGCCTGAGCAGCCCCCCCGTCAAGGGAAGGGGCAAGACAGGTTCCTGCAAATGAAAGGATTATGCAGGAACTCCACAGGCCCCAAAATCTTCTTGGATAACAAGATAACTGCTCAAGTGTTCAATGGGCTCTAAAACACCTCTGGAGATGCCCCAGAATGCTCTGAAATCCAGAACTAAAACAAAGCTTAACTTGGGACATGAACTTGTCTTACAAAATCAGTTAAATTGCAGAAGCCTTGAATTGAGAGCAGGGCCCTCTCTAGAAGGAAAACAAATGAGCAATATTTTTCTTAAAGCAAAGAATACTTTTTATGAGCTACTGGCCTCAAATGCAATTAGTGCAGTGTGTATACTCAGCTTTTAGTCTGATTATTTAAAAGTATTACAATCTTTTAAAAACAATTATTCCAAAAATAAATAAATGATTATCTTGGCTATCTAACTTTGTGGTCACTTTGAGTGAAAATACTAATACATCATCAAAAAATGGAAGAAATACAGATTAAATCATATCAATCTTCTACTTTAGCTTTAATTCAGAGGAACCTTATCTGTGAGGGAACCTCCGGATCCCTCATTCCATTGCCAGATAATTGCTAAAAAAATCTAGAGCGCGGATTGATACCAGTTCCATTTTCCAGCTTGTGCCTCAACAAATGCAGTGGTTGAAATTGGAAAATTCAGTCATTCAAAACTGCATTTTAATTATAAAAAAAATCTTTTATATCATGCATTAATGCAGTGCTTTCCTTAGAAAAATTAAAAACCGTTTCAGTGACTATAATTGCTGATTTGCAGCCACTTTTGAGTTAGAATAAGTTGACGTTTCTAAAGTGATCTTTATTAAACAGAGCAAATGTATATTTTAACTGTTCACTCACTCAGCTATTCAGCTTACTTTGATTAGGTAATCTGTGTGAATTATGAAATACATGCAGAAAGAATGCCGTAAACTTGCATTGGCATAAACAATACTTTCTACAAGTTGGAAAACCCATGCAAAATGTGAACAATCTTTTAATTTCTACGTAAGAGAAGAGCAAGAAGGGCGATTAACTCATCTCTGATGTAAACTGTTCAAAATGCTGACTGGGGTGTTTTGACCAGTCTGTTAGCCTAGCATCCATTTTTATTTGCGGGTTAAGTGAGATACAGACTGTCACCTTTGGAAAAGGACAACCCGTTTCCTTCCTTAAAAGGGGGAATTAGCACAAACACCCAAATCCATATTAGTACCATTATGCCAGATTAATTCCCTACAGAGGGAATTCACATGAAAATAAAAATCTTTCCAAGAAACACAATGATTATTAAAGTTTATTAAACAATATTAACACAAAGTGAGAAGCATATTACAAATAAATAGTAACTTCTCCAAAATATTATTTTACATGATATTTGAAACGGAAAAAAAAATGACTTTGCTTATACACAAAGGAAATCAAGAGATCCAGCTTTGTTTTTGTAAAATTTTGTTAGCCCTGTGTCCCAGGTTAGGGCAAATAAAACAAACTGCTTGCTTGATTTTATAATAAACTATGTCAAGATATAAATTAAAGGCTTTCAAAGCTTAAAAAAATGAGCAAGTTTAGTTACTTCAATTAAGCACAGTAATTATAATATGCAAGTATTCCTCAATTTATAACCATTTGTTTAACGACCACTTGAAGTTAGAAAAGCTCAGAAGAAGTGATTTATGACTACTGCAACATCTCTGCGGTCGCATGATCAAAATTTGGCTGCTTGGCAATTGGCAGGTATTCACACAAAGTCCCGGGACCAGAATATCGCCACTTAAAAATCTTTCAAGGGGACTTCCGACAAGCAAATTCCATTGGGGCAGCCAGATTCACTTAATGACATGATTCACAATGCAAAAAGGTTGCAAAATCAGGATGATTAGTCACCTAATGACTATGCTCCTTAACAACAGATATGTTCCAGTCCCAACTGTGGTTGTAAATCGAGGACTACCTGTACGGGGATTAAGCAGAAAAGAGAGTGATATCCTCCTGCTGTATTTGAAGTTTGCGAGGAGACTTCATTTTAAGGGACTGAATACACCTCAGCAGAGAATGAGTGCTCACTTTTCATATGGCAGAACTATAGGGCGTTACGTGAATTCATCTTTACTATGCCATAGCAAAACCTTGACCGATCAGTTGATGCTAAAGCAGCTTCAAAAACAAATTAATCCCAAATCAGGAGAGTCAAAATGTCTCTTCAAACCTGATATTCGTGAAGAATTATGTCCAAAAATTGGCTGGATCTGGGAAAAGAGTTATCGGAAACCTCCATCTCCCACTGTTAAAATACAGGTGCATACAGGGCAGTCCAATGTTTAATATTATTTCTAGGGCATAAGTTAATTTCTAGGATCAAAACTGCATTATTAATAAAACTGAAGCTGGGTGGGTTAGTGTTATGCATTCTGTGAAATGCGGGATTACATACCAACATAGCTAAGTGCCATCAAATCCTTTTTTACGATTATAATCAAGTGCCTAATATTTTTATGAGTACTGTGGCAATAAAATGGTTAATTATTTATCATTAAATCCTCCAAAGATCTTGGTGCTCTCATACTATCCGTCTGCAATTGAAACAAACGGTGTAATTTAAAAGGGCACAGTAGCAATTTTAGTAGCATTGTTCAGGTTATTACTCTGGCTCTAGGCAAGCAGACAGCAAAACAAAACAGCCGAGTCGAATACAAAAAGCACCTCTTCCGTATTACAACTATGGTACCAGAGTGGCTTCCAAACATTACTGAGCCTTGTTCACAGATGCCTTCACTGCTTTCCAGAGACCAGGTGTATAATCTAGACTCCCAGTGCATTTTTATAGCAATGAGATTGAGATCTTAGAGCTCAGGAATCAGGAGCAGAGAAGCTGGTCAGGTTGCTAGATAAACTGTAATAGTCTTCCTCCCTCTTGGAAGGCTTACATTTCTTTTAAAAAAACCATCTGCCTTTCATAGGCTCTTTGGAGGCACAGGGAAAATGGCTATCTTTAGGCAAAGCTGAAAGCATTTGTTTACTGCATGAGCATTTCATTCTCTGGGAGAATTCAGGGCACTCTGAGAGGGAGGCCTTCAAAGGCACCAGATTTTAAAATGTGCTAAGCATAAGCCTAGCGATAAAGAAGATACTGCAACTGCTTTTCCCCAGCACGTAGGGATGGCAGGGCCTGGCGCCTTGGGTGTCCTTCTGAGCATTTCCATGCAAAACAATATGTGCACAAGCAGCCAATGAAGGAAGCATGGCAGGCATTTGCCACGTATCTTCACTGTTCAGGAGACCAAAGAGGAAATGCATCCCCTAAAACAGGGGTCAGGGCAGGTCAAAGGCAACCCCCCATCCAGGCAACCTTTTAGGGACCTCGGTTTCTTTCTTTTGGGTGGCTACAATTCCTCCCAATTCCTGGGCGAGGGGACTTCCCAGAGTCAGTGAAGAAGTAAAGACAGGGGGACACCAGACCTTGTACTGTCAAAGTCACAGGCAAAGTGGCTGCAAATCTGCTTCAATACCTTCATGCCAACTTTGGCTTCCTAATCTTCTCCAGCTTCATTGATTGAGACAATGTCAGAAGCTTTATCAGAGGTCAACTTAAGTCAATCCACTCTTTATAAAAGGAAATGAAAAGGAAGGAAGGGAGAGAGGCTGGTGAAGAAGTCTGGAACGAGACCGACCTATACCCTGGGTGAGATTGGGTGGGTTAAGGGTCTCTTCACTATTGATAGCACACAACCCACCACACGAGGCCTGTCTCTGAATGGCGAAGCTAGAATGCAAGTTAAGGGTATTAATAGAGAAAACAACTAGCATCCCGGCAACATCAAAAAGCAACCCCCTCCTTTACTTTAAACATTCAATGCAGATCCGGAATCGATTGGCCACTTTAGCCCAAACCGTTTAAAATTCCCCATTACGTTTACATGCCATAAGAGCCCTTAAGAAATCAGACCAGGATTCCTTCTGCTTTGACACACAGAGAATAACTGAATGTTTGTACTGACAGGTGCACAGGTTGTTATTTCTTACCTGCAACTTTAACCGGATGTTCATGTTCATCAATTCAGACTAGGAAGTCTGACAATCAGAAATGATAATTAGAGGCAGCCAAGCAGCAGACTAGCCCTCCTCAGCCCTTTGAGAGCCCCGGGAGGCTGCCGCCATTAGGCCCAGCCGATGGGACGCCAACAGCAGCATCCTTTGAGAGGGCAGCCCTGGCCCCTCCCTCCCCCAGTCCCCCCCCTCCCACCCAAGTGCTATTCTTAGTTTACTCAATTATACCTCAGGGACAGAAACACTTACTCCCCCCATCCCTTTTCTGATGGCTGTAAAGGCAGCTCTTTCCTTAGCATTCATGGGAAGCGTTGGTAAAACAACCGCTACTCACTCCAGCGCAGCCTGATAGCTAACGTCTCTATCCAAATATCAGCTCCTATGGCAGCAAAAGGTCCAGCTCAGGAAACCATACCTGACGGACAGAAACCCCTTCTCTAAACCTCTCCGAGTAAGACCCCTGCGTGTCCTGAGCCCTGGGCAACTTATTTTACTCGGCAGGCATTGGGGAGAATATCAGGTCCTGTATCTCTCTGTCCATTAGGAGCTCTTATTTCCAAGACAAATTAAACCACTTGGAGGCAGCTGTTTTCTCCTCTTTCAAAGCTTTCCCAATTTTTGAAACACCATTAGAGTGCAAAGCTTTGCAGGACTCATTTGGGATATTACTTGGCATTAATTTGAAGAATATACTTCAATTCAATATTTATTATTAAATAAATGCACAGCCCCAGCAACTTTGGAGAGATGTTTTTAAAAATTACAATTATGCCCGCATACTTCTCGTCACAGACGTGCCAAGCTGGCCTATGCTAAGAAGAACACTCCCTACTGGTTCCTGGTGGAGGCTTGTTTAGAAATTTAAGTGATAAAATCCATGGGACTGAAGCAAGCATGACCTACATGATGTTCTACCGGCCAGAGCAGCCTTAAGGCGAGACAGTGTATCAATGTATGCTCCTTTATGGCTTTGAGACATAGGCATCTCTTTAGAGCTTAACATGTAAAAACAGCTGTCAACTGATAGTTGATCGTTGATAAAAGAGCCCTTTGCATCTGGAATGATGAACATGAAGCATTCCTCTCATGCTAAAACAATTAAATGTGCTCTTGACAGATTCATTTCCATGTCTTGGCTTTAAACTGGTTTAGATGGATTTGCAAATTAAAAGCCAATCAATAGTAGCAAAACTAGCAGTCTGTTCTTGCAGAACCTCATGCTTGAGCTCAGCCAATCGTGTTCATCAAGAAATCGGAAGTTTACTGATGCAGATTTTATGTAACCTGTTGATGTGTTCCAGAATCCCTGATTAAAGCAATGAAAGAGACCTGGGGCTACCAGACTTGCAACCAGATATTGGCTCACTTTATGGCTATGGAAGCAGAAAACAAAAGAAGCTAAGTCTTCAATATGGAAAATAGTTCTCATCAGTCCTCATTGTTTAATGGGTCAATGACACCAGTAAAACTGATTCAGGATGGACAATTCTGAATGTAACCAAAATGAAATGTGAAGATGACTGTCATTAAGACGTCATTAGTGCAGAGTTGACAGTATTCAAATGTTAGCTGAACATTTAAAAATATGCCTTTTTGGTCCTGCTCTATCACACACAATGTACAGTTTATTCTTTGTTTTTAAATGGCTGTAACTCTCCCCACTTTTAAAAATATATATATTAGTATACCTCATAGGAGATTTCTCTTGTTCTCCAGTTTTCATCCTTTATCATCTGTGCTCATTCTTCTTTGCATGGCAAGGTTGCAATTTTTAAGCCAGCCTATAGTAAGTTAATTTTCTACTTCCTATGTTTAGCTCTGCTATATAAATATATTATCTTTTTTTAAAAGCAGACCAAGATTATTACTACTAAAGCCCATATTTTAGGGAGTATAGTAAAGGCATTAAATAAAAGCTTCCACTTGGTCAAGTAATTTAACCAATATTATAATAAATCTGCCAAATATCTGGAAAGTAGTACTGAAAAATCTTCTGTTACATACACAACTATGTTCTACTCTACAACTACATTACATGTAGTTGGAAACAATTTGTTGCTCAATGTGTGGAGTAACAAAGAAGAATCTACTACTGCATACTCGATTTCTTTAGAAAGAACTCACACATTGTTTTTAAAAGCAATTGGACTGACTCAGACAAACAAAGCTGACAAGTAACAGACAACTAGTTCTCCTAAGCCATTTTTTCAAATGCTTGAAAATAAGCTCAAACATGAAAAACATTAAAGATCTGTGGGTTTAAAATGCTAGCATTTCCAAAGTTCTTGCAGCTGTTTTTCTCTTTAACTAATTAGCTTTACATGTCAAATGAAAATATGCTTCAGAACTTTTTTTACTGAAATCTTTGAATTTAATGACTAGTCTTCCTAATCTACTCTTAAATCCACAGATTGCATGAGGAAAAAAAAATCAAATACATTAACAGTGAGCAGTGCTGCAAAGTATTTACCCTTCACTCAAGTTATACTTTCAAAAATCAAGCAGAAGGTTGCAAAATTCTGGCAACAGCTTTGTGGAGAGAATCTGGAATATAACTATGAAAAAGTCTATTCCAAATATATGATTCCAAGATAAAAACTGTCCAAGACAGCTTACACCAGGCAACTCCCTCCAGAAGTCTCTAATATAAAATAAAAACAAAAAATAGGAGAAAAGATTTTAAAGCCTACATTAAGTAGGAGACTCTTTCAAATTATTTCTCAGTTTATTTTAATTTATGGTAATTTTAAATTCTATTTAGCTGATGTCACTTTATATAACTCCTAAGTAACTAAACGTTCATAGCAATAGCAATAGCAGTTTGACTTATATACCGCTTCATAGGGCTTTCAGCCCTCTCTAAGCGGTTTACAGAGTCAGCATATCGCCCCCAACAACAATCCGGGTCCTCATTTCACCCAGATAGATAGATAGATAGATAGATAGATAGATAGATAGATAGATAGATAGATAGATAGATAGATAGATAGAT